TTCCTCTATGACTTTAGAGTTTCTAGGTTGCCAGCTTCTCCCACATGCAAGATTTCTAAGGTAAAAACAAAGCCCAGGAAACTCACCATGTTGTTGTTTTTCTGGCCTCCGTTTCTTACCTTTTACAGTATCCTTATGTTTGTTTCAAGTATAATGTCTAAGATTTTTAGTTGTACAGGGGTAGAGAGAAGTGCAGCTATTTCATCATGTCTCAGAACTGTAAGTCCCTAGAGATTTTTATTAAATAATGGAAAGCAAATACATATGTAAAAGTTCAGGCCAGGCATGGTGGCTCATGCCTGTAATTCCAGCATTTTGGGAGGCCAAGGCGAGTGGATCACCTGAAGTCAGGAGTTTGAGACCAGCTTAGCCAACATGGTGAAACCCTATATGTACTAAAATACAAAAATTAGCCAGGTGTGGTGGTGGGCGCCTGTAATCCTAGCTACTCAGAAGGCTTAGGCATGAGAATTGCTTGAATGCGGGAGGTGGAGGTTGCAGTGAGCTGAGATTGCACCAACTGCACCTCCACCCTTGGTGACAGAGCAAGACTCTGTCTCAAAAACAAACAAACAAACAAACAAAAAAAAGTTCAATAAGTCTAATGGTTTCTAATTTTCTTCTAATTTCATTTATCCAGAAACTGTGTGAATTAAATTTTATCAAGTTATATTTTATTATTTTTTATTCAAACATTAGATTTTTGTGGATTGAACAAAAGTACTTAAGAAAGCAAAATGACCAGGAAGGTTCACAGTATACTTTGGTGATAGGCAGAGAATGCCTGTTTTCTGTTATTACCTTTGAAATTTGTTACTTTTTTAAATTATAAAAACGTATACCATCTGGAAAACTACTCACATAAAATAGCTTGAGATCTTTCTGGAACCCGGATCTCTTTATGCTAATTGTCAGTTTAAGCTGACCATGTTCTCATCTCATGTATTAAGTTCCTTTACTTGAAAGTGGTTGGCTGGCCGGGCGCGGTGGCTCAAGCCTGTAATCCCAGCACTTTGGGAGGCCAAGACGGGCGGATCACGAGGTCAGAAGATCGAGACCATCCTGGTTAACA